ATGAAGACAAGTCACTAGATTCATCCCACTATGTTTATAAGTTGTCTCAAACAACACTGGGGGGAAATTGCTTTGTTTCTTAATTTCAGAAAAAAATTTACAATTGCCAAGGGCAAAATAATATTAGAAATCTTAATTTTCTTTCTCTTTTTAGGCACCAAGCTTCATTTATAATAAAGTATATCTTGTCCGACAGCTTTCTACTACACTGATGTTAAAATATTCCTACAGTATACAAAGATTAACATGAAATCTAAATACTTGCAGTTATAAAGTTAACCCTATATAAAACCATCAGTAATTAATTATATACATATATAATTTCACAGGTTTATGTTAGATTTCACAAAATAGTTTATTACAAAGCATATGAGTAGGCTATAGTCAGTTTATTATAAATGCTGACTTTGATATTAAAAGTACAGGTACAGGTATATGATTTGACTTATTTAACTCAAATATGAAAAAAAAATGTTTAAAAAAACTGTCTTGGTAGAGCTACTGGTATTATGAGTAGGATAATTCTTTCGTGTGTTACTACCCTGCAGATTGCAGAAGTTTTAGCCTCCCAGCTACCCACCTGCCAAAACACCATAGTACTTTCCAGAAATTGTGACAACAGAAACACTCCCGTGCTTTCAACCTCCTTGTTATCCTCCTTTTCTCCATTTTGGAGACTGGTTTAGAGGATTGTGATGCTCTCGAATTTTACAAAGATAAGGGAATAGGTTTGTCTCTCTGTCACTCTCTCTAGTTCTCCTTTCCTTTCTCTTCCTTTTTAGAAACTGTTACTGGAAACATAATAGCCAAACAATATCTTTTTTCATGATACTTTAGAGCTAGAAAAGTTCTTCTGTATGTATTACCTTATTTAATCATTGCATTATTGATATCAGGAAAGCAGAGCATATATTATGTTTCCCTTTTGATAAGTTTTAAAAAAAGAAAGAAACTAAGGCTCAGAGAGGTTAAGAAACTCCCTAAGTATCATACTGTTGAACTAGTGTCTGGGTTTTATAACATTAAGATTCATGTCTTTTCAACTGTATCTGACTGAAATGGTGACAGATCCCCTTTCCTCAAGAACACAATAGTTTAAAGGAGGAGAAAATATCAATCAACATAGCATAAGCCATGAATTTCATGATGCAGACTGACATGCACATTGCCTACAGAAAAATCTTAATGGTTTAATAATAATTAAATGTTAAAGATAAAAAAATGGGGTATCTGGTTTTGCCATTTATTCCTAAAAAAGTATTGAAGCCTAATATTTATTTGGTGCTCAGCCTGAAGTAGACATTATTTCATGTAAGAAATTACATGGTTTCTATAATATACAAACTGCAGGCGAAGTACCAAGCTACAAGGCCCTAGGCCCTTACATTTATTTGTCAAAGGAGAGGAAGTAGAGAAGAAATAGTTTCGCATTTCTTTTTTTGTATGTAAATCAAATTCTTATCCAGTGTTTAAAACAAATCATTTTTTAAACTATTAATGCATTTTATAAGTTCATATCTATAATATTTTATTACAAAGTCAGACAATAAAATATGGGTCTGTTTTGATGATCATAACTGATAAAATTGGTGTAATGACTGACAATGGCAGTCAGTTTACTATTTTAACTTAATATTTACCTTTATTTCTGAGATTTATTTCTGTTACACAATCTCAAGAAAATGAAATTTATATATATATATATATATATATATATATATAAGACATTGCTAATTGTATCAGTCACTTCAAAACTTATCTTTAAATTTTAATATACTTTAAATTCAACATTCAGAATATTGAAGAATAGTAAGAATATATGTATGTAGATACATATGTGTGTGTATATATATTCACACAAATAATATTAATGGCTAACAACTATGTATAGTCTTCAATTAAATACTGATTTAACTTAATCAATAAGTTTCTAAATTAACTAAAATCAGTATTTCTTGGTAGAAAATTTTGAAATGTATCTTACAACTTTATGAGATATTCAAAAATTTATTTGTAAAGAAAATGAGAAAGTCTAACTACATTATTGTTCAATGACTGCTAACAATACCTAAATAGCCAAATTTATCTTGCTTTGCTTATCAAATCTAAAAATTTACTTGCACTTCTATTTGGTCACTTGACCCATTTTTATATGGTATCATGAGCAGGCATTTTTAATTTAAACATTTAGGCCTATTTCAAAGTCAGTAAAAAGCACCTTAAATTAACAATTGTGACTAAAATCATATGTCATACAATATTATAATGATAAGCTAGTCAATGTTTTTACTTATTGTACAAGTGACTTTTCACTTCCACAACCATGAGGATATGGCAAGCAGTTATACCCACTTAGTCTCTGGTCTGTGGCTGTAGAACACATGGGCTTAATGATTATATTTATGTATACAATATTTTATGAAGGAATGTTAATAGTCTTCAATTTTTAAAAAGACAAGAGCAGACCTATAAACTTTCTAATCAGTCATACTTTTATGAGATGTACAAACATGATGAAAAAAAGAAAATTTAAAATATCTTATTTGTTTACTTGTGCTAAAGGGACAGAGACAAATGAGGGGAAAAGACTGAAGTTTTGAAATAAAGCACATAAAATATGCTTAAGAAAAATTTTGATTTTTAAAAACTTGAGTTAATATCTAATATATTAGAGAAAATTCATAATAAATAACAGGACACCATAGGCTGTAATTATGGCTTGTAACAGCAAAGAAAATTGCAATAGTGATAAAATCTTGACCATTTGTTCAACTTGTACATCACCCCAGAACAGAAAGAGGGATGGCTAGATTAAACTGCTTTCTTTTCCACATGAAGATGACCCAAGTGTGTTGTTTTTTGTTCCTTTGACTAGAAGCTCAATATGAAATGAAACCAAAATCTCTCATTACAGATCAAAGTTAGGAAAGTTAGATATCATAAACTGGACTGACTAGGTAAAGGGATGAAATATGATTACATGGTTCTTCAACATGGAGGGATTTTTTCCTGCTGTGGATGCCAGATTACAAAACTATAAACAAACATGAATGTATTCAGATTAAAAACCTGTAAATCAGATTACTATTGCCAAAACATTGTATCAGCTAATGAACAGATCCAAAAAGACGTAGATTATTGAAGACCAAATTATGAGGCAAGGTAGTTAGGAGGATTTTCCACACTGGATAATACAAGGGGGGTGAAAATAAGGCATATTGTGATATGTGCCCCCAAATATACTGAATACTATAGAGGTTCAGAGGAAGAAAAGAGATCATGATTATTTAGAAGAATAAGGAAAAGACTTGCTTGTTTTTTTCAATCAGGCACTGATTAAGCTCATCCTGAGAGACTCTGATTCTAGTACATCAAGAAGCTGAAAATGTGGGTAGGGGATTCCACTCCACACAGCATGTTAAATGATGCAGAATATCTTTGCTTCCACAGTACATTAAGGTAAATCTAGATAAAATAGAACCCATACTTTTATAAAGGACTATCAAAAATTAGTGGAGGCACTGAAATCTAAATGAGCTGATTTCCCAACAAAAAAGCCCTTTCTTCAGATCATAATGAGCCAAGGATGCCACTTAAGGCCAAATGCTCGGTTTGGCTATCAAGGTATTATGGGTCAAGGTGTTAGCAGGCAGGAACAAAACGAAGTCTGAAAAACTTGCAAATACAATGGTAGTTCATTCAACTTAACAATTCCCCCCTACCCCAATTTTCTTGAGAAAGAGACAACAAAGGCAGAATTGAAAAGCAGAAATTTGCACCATTTTGTGGAGTCCTGTGGTGCCTAGAACCAAAGGTCTTTGTATCAATGATCCAGTGCTGAACTGTGACCCAACCATCTCCTGGTTCAAATACTAAGATCAAGATGTCTGTCTGCACTCTCTCTTTCTCTGATATCTGATATAACTTATACCTGTACTCACTCCATAATCACATTCCCATGCATCCATTCTGATCACCGCCTCCTTTCTTCCAGTTGCCTCCATCTTGTAAACTGACCTCCAATATTATTCAACTCCATGAGACCACTGATCAATTGACCTTCAGGTTTTCCCTCCCTCAATCCCTGAATCAACCTTATGCAGTCTAGCTGCCCTCACACACACTTGCCATTTCCTGGTCCCCTCTCTTTCCATTTTACTTGCCAGACAAAACCCCAGCCTAAGCTAAATATCATTCTCTGCCTATTTCATATCTGCACCTAAGCAGTGAAACATGAATGGAATGACCCATAAAGGTAACAGGATCCCATTGCAAATGCATGAGTCCTTAGGGAATCATACCATATTTCCCTAATGCATTTGTTCTTTTACTTAGACAATTATTTCATAACTTCTCTCTTCACAAAGTATGAACATTTCTTTCTCTTTATTTATTTTCAGTTATTTCTTTCTCTTTATTTATTTTCAGTTCACGATCTTTCTTATTTCTGGATGAAATAAAACCTAGTTGATAAATGATTCCACCCTTACCATCACATCTACTTTTATCTGAATCTATATCCTTTCACATTTCTCCTGTTGCTATCAAAGAATGCTTACTGATGCTATCCAAGGCCAACCCTCACACATGTGAACTGGATCCAATTCTCTCTTGCCTACTCAAAAACATAACTCTCTTTCCCTCCTCTTTCATGAGGATTCCCTCTCTTGTGGATATACCTGATCAGCACATGAATAGGCTGTACTCTTCCCTTCCCCCCAAAAAACTACTCCAACTTCATATCATTCTATAGCTTCCTTCCCAATTCTTTGCCCCTCTTTATGTCAAAATCCTCTAAATAGCTCTTTGTAGACTTTGTCTCCTATCAGTTCCTTTTATCCTCTGTTGCATCAACTCCAATCAAGTTTTTACCCAAACAATTACATCAAAACAGCTTTGGTGCCATTCTGTCATGGCCTCCATTTTGTGAGTTCCAATGGTCAATTCACAACCTTTATTGTACTTGACCAGTTAACATTTAACACAATTTTTCACTCTACGTTCAAACATTTTCTTCACTTGGCTTCCAGTATAACACTTTTTCTTGGTTTTCCTCTGATCACACGAGTGTTCTTTTTCAGTTTCTGTTGCTATATCTTCCTCCTCCTCCTGACTCTTAACAACTGGAAAGTTCCAGGTCTCCATCTTCAGACCTCCTCTCTTATCTATCATTACCCAGTCGCTCATTATCACATCAAGTCTCTTGGCTTCAAATACTCTCTGTATGTTGACAGCTACTCATATTTATAATACAATATAGATACCTCACCAAAAATCTAGTCTAATATCAAACTATCTACCTGATATTTCTCTGTTAATATCTAATACACACTTCAAAAGTAACATGCCCAAATCTAAACTCCTAACTTTTGCCAGTGCACTTCTCCTCCAGTCTTTCTCACCTCAGTTAATGATAATTCCATCATTTTAACTGACCAGACTCTAAACCTTAGAATCAGCTCTGCTGATCTCTAATGTTCTTCCCACAGACATTTATATTTTATTCTCTTACTACAGATCACTGCTCAATTTTGATATAAGAAGACAAGCTTTTCACCAAATGAACTGTTAAACAAGCATTAAAACTCCATTCCGATGTGTCTTGATTCCTCCAAAATACATCCGTTGGACAACTAAACAAATGATGAGACTGCTCTGCTACAAGCCATTTTGATTTTTGTCTTTGGGGACATCTTCAGAGCCAGGTTTTAAGGCCCCAGGAAATTTAACAGACTTGGTCTCAAATAACTTAGGGTTGCTTCCTTCCACAGACTGAAAAAATAAACAGAAGGCATTTGTTTTTCCACCCCTTAAAATTGGGCATGGCTATGTGACTTCCATGGGCAGTGGGACATTAGAAACATGGTACAGAGACTTGGAAAGTGCTTCTGCCTGGGCCCTGCACTCTCTTGCTGCTGAGAAAATGTCTACTAACAAATAACAAATCTGGGCAGCTTCCTGGAGAATGAGAACACATAGAGAGAGAGACCTCAGTGACTCTAGTCATCTCACCTGGGCCCCTGGACATGTGAATGTAGCTATGCTGGACCATCCAGCCTTAGCCAGAAGAACCACTCAGCAAACCCACAGAATCATAAGAAATAATAAATGTTTGTTGGTCTTTTTTTAAAAAAAGAAGAGAAGCCTTTCATCATTTCACTAGATTTCTTCCCTCATTCACTCCCTCCCACTACCCTGTTTCCTTTTCTTTATAGCACTTAAACTACTACCTGATATATTACACTCCATATGTTTAGTTAATTATTTTTTCTCTTTCTCACTAGCATGTAAGATGTAATCAGACATGTCTAAACCCATACACAAAAGCAAACTCAAAATGGATCAAAGACCTGAATGTCAGTCATGAAACCATAAAACTCTTAGAAGAAAATATAGACAAAAATCTCTTGAATCTAAACATGAGCAACTTTTTCCTGAATGGGCAAGGAAAAGAAAATAAAAAATGAACAAATGGGACTACATCATGCTAAAAACCTTCTGTACAGCAAAGGACACCATCAGAAGAACAAAAAGGTACTCTACAGTATGGGAGAATATATTCATAAATGACAGATCCGATAAGGGGTTAACATCCAAAATATATGGAGAGCTCACACGCCTCAACACCCAAAAAGCAAATAACCTGATTAACAAATGGGCAGAGGATATGAAGAGACAGTTCTCAAAAGAAGAAATTCAGATGGCCAACAGACACATGAAAAGATGTTCCACATTGCTAGTCATCAGAGAAATCCAAATTAAAACCACAATGAGATATCACCTCACACTAGTTAGGATGGCCAGCATCCAAAAGACAAACACAAATGTTGGTGAGGATGTGGAGAAAGGGGAACCCTCTTGCACTTCTGGTGGGAATGTGAACTAGTTCACCCATTGTGGAAAGCAGTATGGAGGTTCCTCAAAAAACTCAAAATAGAAATACCATTTGACCCAGGAATTCCACTCCTAGGAATTTACCCTAAGAATGCAGCAGCCCAGTTTGAAAAAGACATATGCACCCCTATGTTTATTGCAGCACTATTTACAATAGCCAAGAAATGGAAGCAACCTAAGTGTCCATCAGTAGACGAATGGATAAAGAAGAGGTGGTACATATACACAATGGATACTATTCAGCCATAAGAAAGAAATCCTACCATTTGCAACAACATGGATGGAGCGAGAGGGTATCATGCTCAATGAAATAAATCAGGCAAAGACAAATACCAAATGATTTCCCCATTTGTGAAGTATAACAACAAAGCAAAACTGAAGGAACTAAAATAACCACAGACTCACAAACTCCAAGAAGGCACTAGCAGTTACCAAAGGGGAGGGGTGTGGGAGGGCAGGAATGGGGAGGGAGGGAGAAGGAGATTTTGGGGTATCATGATTGGTACACATGGTGTGTGTGTGGGGTGACGGGGAAGACAGTATAGCTCAAAGAAGAAAAATGGGGACTCTGTGGCATCTTACTACACTGATAGCGACTGCAATGGGGTATGGGGGGGACTCAATAATAAGGGTGAATGTAATAACCACATTGTTTTTCTTGTGAAACTTTCATAAGAGTGTATATCAATGACACCATAATAAAAAAAGATGTAATTAGACAAAGAAAGTAGCTGTGTCTTTGTAGTTCAGTGTTACAGCCCCAAGTTTAGAATACTTTCTAACATACAGTAGATGCTTTAAAAAATGTTTGCTAAGCAAACAAACCTATTTTAATGAAAACAGAATTTTCCTTTGTTTTGGAAATTTGTAAAAAACATTTTTAACTGATTTTACCTCAATTATACATTGATGACCCCAAGGAGTGTTAGTGTTATTTTGTTGAGGGCAAGGATTTTTCCTACTTGTCTTGAATTAAATTTATCTATTTTCTTTTCTAATTACATTCTAAAAGAAGGAAAATATGTGATTAGCAGAAGTATGAGAAATATTTTAGAAATATTCTTATCCCTTAACTCTTCCAAAATGAGAGACTACATTAATTTACATACCATCTGAATATGAAGATGCCTAGAGGTGGTGAGAAGATAATTAAAACCTAGATCTGACAGGCTTGTAGAGGAACAAAGCTATTCTTGTTAAATTACTATAACATTGTAGTCTGGAGGGGTTAGAGATCTTGATATGATTATTAATACACACACATTTGATTTGTTTAAGCAATTACATTGTTGAATGAATGAAATGCAATATGTTTGCTTTGAAAAGTTCACCTAGCAGTCTTCCAGATTTCACAGTCATAGGATTGTCTATGATAAGAAAGACTAAGGCAAGCATTTCTGAACTAATAGGTGAAAAGAATCCCATAAGAAACAACTGTATACAAAGTAAAAAACTCTAATAGTTGAGCTTATGTGCAAAAATTAATTATTCAAGCTATATTTCTGACAAATTTTATAGCCATTTTGTTCTTCTGAGAGTCAATATGATTGTGGATACTATTCATCAATTGTGTTTTGTCTCCTCTTTTCAATCTTTTTTAAAAATTGTCTTTTGTTGGCATTATATCTAGGGAGTATTTTAGGATGTGTGTAAACATACAATAAGTGTTCAGAGAATAATATTGTTTCAAAAACTTTTTCTGGTAGCTAAAATAAGTGTATTCCTTTCCTGTTGGTACTAAAAAAGGATCTGGAAAAAGGTTCATGGGCAGAAGAGTTAATCGCAAATATCTTTGCAAAGAACACTCACTAGGAAGCTGTTTAGATTTGGAGTTAGCATGAACATATTTGCATTGATTTTTCACATATGTAAAAAAGAAATATCATCTAAGAATTTATCTCAATGTTGATTATATATAAACACTTGTTTAAAATGAGATACATATTTTGAGTGTAAGTAACTGGTTGAAGAAAGCATTTTCTAATTTTCAAGCAGGTATAAGACAAGACAATACAGAACATTCATATGAACAAAACTTTAAAATTCTGGATTTTCAATTCTGACTTATTCCTAACTGTATAATGCTGATGTCTTTTCCTTGCAGTGCTTGGAGATTTCTTTTGTGCATTGGTTTCACTCAGTAGTCAATTTATAATGAAGATTATGTAAAATGTGACAGATTAAATTCAGGCCAAATGTTAATGCTGGGTAAAAAGGCGAAAATAAATATAAAAATTATGTCTGGGAGGCATTATAGTATGATTTACTTAGTAACGGAGAGAAGTAAACTATGGAAAGGGAAAAACAGCTATAAAAGTAATGAATGTTTTACTGAAAACATAAGGTGTCTTCTCCGCCCAGTCTCATACCGTGGAAACAAGCTGACTTTCAATGAGAATGAATCACATTTCACTTTAGACTGATGAAATACAATTCTTTATGCAGCACACAATCAAGCTGTGGAATTCAATTCTGCAATATATCATCGTGGTAAATAGTTTAGCAAAATCCAGGAAAGCATTAAATGTTGCTATGAATAAGAATGACATTTACAGCCAAGCTAAGTAGGTCACAAAGTTTAAAGGGCTCTCAGCCCTGTAGCAATGGGGCATAAGAGAATTTGTATGAAGGTCAGAAAGCAGTGTTCTCTCCTCTGACATTATTATATACCACTGATGCATTATGGGATGTTTATGTGGCTCTTTCTCAAAACTGAGAATTAAGGGTATCTACTTGAATCTAAAGGAAAATAAAAATACTTAATTTTCTTCAAGATATAAATATTATTTTGATATAAATTATTGATTATATTATCAATGATGGTAATAAATCTACAAGATATCATCAAAGGCAAATAAACAAAATATTATCCCTACAGATGAGTAAAAGAATGGGAAGATTTGACAGATGTGCGAATTAAGGAAGGCAAAAATGGCTGAAAAACAACAATGTACTTTGGATTAAAAATACTTCTTTCTAAAACACAGCAAAACTCAATGATCAAAAAGTAACCTTCACTTTGTTACATAACTACATAAGGAATTAGTATCTTTATCTGTTCAATTAGAGATTTGGATGGCTTAATGCTAAAATTTGCTCCTCTCATGTACTGAGACATGCAAAAGAATGGTCTTTATAACAATATTTATAAAACCCAAGCTACAGCTAACCCAAATTTCAACTCAAGAGTCATATGGGGAAAAAAAATCATTGTATATCATTACAAAGGCAACTTATACAGCAGTGAAATGGATAAAGAAAGCTACAGGTAGTTATATAGACATAGTTCCGAA